CCATCCCTGGAGGCATTCAAGGCCAGGCTGGATGTGGCTCTGGGCAGCCTGGTCTGCTGGTTGGCGACCCTGCACATAGCAGGGGGTTGAAACCAGATGGTCATTGTGGTGCTTTTCAACCCAGGACATTCTATGATTCTTCTATGAAGTGCCTCCTTGACACATCAAAAACTGTACTCAATTATGCTAAAAGTTTCCTGCACTAACAGCATATATTTAGAGCTGCATGTTGTACTACTTTCAGGAAAGGGAAAGAATTAAAAACCACTACTAGTATTCAAAATATTGTATGACTCTACATTTAATATCTAGAAAGCAAATCCTTTAGGAAAACGAAACCTTGTTGTTTTATGTACTGCTTCATTTTTAAAGAATAAAACCAAAAGATATTAACTGGTCACTTAGGCTTGTGAAGGGCTTAGAGAATATGGCCTAGGAGGAGAGACTGGAGGAACTGGGGCTGTTTCGACTGGGGAAAAGGAGGCTGAGGGGAGACCTTATTGCTCTCTTCCAATAACTGAAAGGTGCTTACAGCAGAGCGGGGTTGGTCTCTTCTCATTGGTGACAGGTGAAAGGACGAGGGGAAATGGCCTCAAGTTGCACCAGGGCAGGTTTAGATTGGATATCAGGAAAACCTTCTTTACAGAAAGTGTTAAACACTGGAATAGGCTCCCCAAGGAGGTGGTTAAATCACCATCCCTGGATGTGTTTAAACACCATTTGGATGTGATGCTCAGGGCCATGATAGTATGGTTAGGCTGTGGTTGGACCTGATGATCTTTAAGGTCTTTTCCAACCTGAGGAATTCTATGGTTCTGTGTTTTGGAGGTTTTTTAATATTAAACCTTCCATTAGAATCTGGCACTTTAAACATACACATCTGCTCTATGGGTTAAGAGACAGCAACACTGGCTTCTCAGTTGTACCATTTTAAAATAAGTAGGACTTGCACCTACCTTTCTTAACATTGTGGTCACAGCAGATGAAAAATAGTGAAGAGTTTTGTGATGACACTGCACAGAAGGAAAAAGTGAGCTGGGCTGACTGCCTCTTCACCTCCTTCAGGTCATCCAGGTCATTCCTTTTTAAAGGTGATTCATTTCCAAAGGCCACAGATTCTCCTAAAAAAGCACTCTCAGTACAATGTACTTCAAAATAGTGGGGTTTTTTTTCCTACTCTCATCTTAAATGAGCTCTTTTTTTTTTTTTTTTTTGCTATTCCCTTCCCACATAAAACCTAGATTACACATGGATCAAACAAGTACAAGAGCTAAGAAAAGTGAACCCAGCTAGACTGTGACATTGCAAAAGACTTGCTGAAGTCTTTCTAACTGATCAGGGGGCTCACTGTTGCCAATGCTAGTGCATCCTCTCAGACTAGGGAGACTTTGAGATCCAGGTGCTCTGTTTGAAAATTACTTTAGGTACTGAAGTCAAGATTGTAAAGAAATCATAAAATTTAGTACAAAACATTTTTTAAAATAAGGGTTAATCTGAATACACTCATACAAACTTAATTTTAAAATAAGAGAGCTTTTTTACTGGAAAGATGTACAAACATCCCTACTCTACCTGAAACAAAAAAGCTGGAAAGTGAAACAGCAAAAAAAACAAACAAACAAACAAAAAAAAAAAACACACAGTTATTTGAAAAGAAAATACAGGATTCTTCATAGTCTGAACTGAATAAAGTATAATTTAGATAAAAGTATGCTACTGGGGTGGTGAATTGAAATAAATGAGTTAGATCACCATATGCAGTAGATGAACTAGAGCAATTACTTTGATTACAGTATCTGGGAATCCAGAATACAAAATTCATACATCAGACAAATATTCCTCAAACAAATTTTCATGCAAATTCCTGTTCATCATCTTTTCAGACTTCAGTTATTGGCTTCTTGTTTGTTTTTCACTGCTATCAGACAAGCACATGTGCCAAGTTCTGGTTATCTATGCTGTATTGTAGAGAAAACTAATCACTTATCTTGCATGAAGGAGTGATGAAGCATAGCTTAATTATTAACTTTCACAAGTTGGACTGAGTTTTTTTGGGTGACAAAGCTGTTTACCATATGATACAGAGTAAGGTTATACATTCTTGGAAGCTTTAACTCAAATTAATTTAATACCCCTCCAGCAAAAAAAAATATAGACCAAATTCAGAAAATACAGGTTTGAAAAACCCATTTTTATTTGCAGTTATTAAAAAAAATCGTGCCTACAATCTGAAAATTTTGTCAAGGCTGCCAGTAACCAAAAGCTCTGCCTATGCAACGAGCAAAGAAAGTACCACACAAAGAAATTAACAATACAGAAAAAAAAAAGTCCAAAGAAAGTTTGGAGATGAAATCAGGAAATGAGAAAGCTGAGCTTACTCTAACAGGAATTCCCTTGAAATATATATTTTATAAGGAACAAATGCTAATGTCACATGTTAATGTTGGCAGTCCAGTACCCTTTATAAAACTCAAAGAAAAAAATCATTAAATTTCCTACTTCCAGCTGCCAACAGATTTCAGATAAGGATTACAGAACTGTTGCTACTCATCACATGGAAAGGATGCTGTTTCTTAATTCTTTATTTTCCTTTATGACAGACTGTCAAAAGAAAAATAATTACACAGGCCAACTATAAGGGTGTTTTTTCTTGCAGGTAGAGTAAGAGAAAGAGATAAAAGAACACCACCTGCAGAAGTTTCTTTATGGATGTTCATCCTTGCAAAATATCTCATTAGTGTTGGCTCACTAAGTGATATTGAGGAGGAGAACTTTTAGTGAGGTCTCTAATCCTTTGGTCATTCAGCAGTTTTATCTCCTGCAGCTTTTTAACTGTCTTGTGATCTCTTTCTACCTAGCCAAGGCCCAGACTCAATAAAAACATTTCTACTGAACACTTCACTGTTCTTTCTTTTTCCCCCTCATATTTGCTTGAAACTCCTCAGTCTTCATTACCTGAACAAGGTCAATAGATTACAACTTTCTATTCCATCTTTTTCAAATAATACATCACAATTGCTGTACTTATTCAAAATTACATGTGCTCAGTTACCCAACAAGGTTGTGCTTCCGATACATATTTTTGGCAGTTAGTGAGACATTTGTTATGATCCAGTTAGTTCTAGCCTCAGGGTTTTACTTGAAGGACAGAGAAGCTTGCTCAGTATTTCTATAAAACTTTATCAGATGTGGCTTTTTGTTAAAAAAAATAATAATTCATATTTTGATCTTAATACACCATTTCTTCCCCCCAACAATTGCAAGTTAAGGGAAATCCTAATATGATGGTCCATTAATTACAGGAAGTCACCACCAGGGGTTCCATTTCAAGCCCAAACTGAAGAGATAAGTGAACAAACTTATCCCCCTGGTGAAACACTTCAGCACCAATGAGTAGAAGCAGCGTAATCTGCTGCTGAAACATCCGATGACTGCAACTTCCATCTGTGCCTTGTTGAATTCTGGCAGCAGGCACGATTATTTAGTCTATTCTTGTTCAGCCAGCAGGAAGACTTTGTTATGGCAAGAAATGTGGGACAGCTTTCACAAATGAAGGTAGATTTCAGAACAAATTAGTAACCAAAGAAATAGGACTCCACTAGAATGAGCTGATGACCTGCTTATCAATAGGCAGACAAGGCATGAAACAGAAAATGGAGTACATTGTGATGTAGGATATTTAGACTTTGATTCAGCATATATTGTTGCTTCTTCAGTCAGTTGTGGAATATTACTCTTGTGTACTGGTAAAACTGAGACTTTTTCTGTTTAATACACAAGAAAGGTGTCATACGACATCAGTGGACATGAATTAAATGGAACTTCTTAAATGAAGTCTGTTCCAACCAAAGCATAATGAACAATAAAATATTCACACTTACCTGGTGTGTTGTGTATCAGCAGTTCCAAGTCCTTCTTTTGGAAATATCAGCTTGCACTTGGTTACTTCTACCAAAATGCGTGTTTAGATGTATTGTCATTGTTGAAGATTGCACACGCCACTTAAGTATGAGCAATCCAGAGTTTCATTACTTAAATATGCCCTTTAATTATGGGATTAATCTTCAAAGGAAACGTTTACAAATTCACAGAGAGAATAAAAGGATTACAGAGGATAAAATCTGTACACAGCATAATAGGTACCACAAGTACAAGTGAGTGGTGATAATAAAAAGATGCATATATGCTAAAGCTATATATACACATGTAGATAACACAGCACTTGGATGAAGGAACCACTGTTCTATACATTTACACCTGCAAACATATGGAGACAACTGTTTGGAGCATGCTATTCTAACATTTTAAAATTAACTTTTCCCTAAAACTGCACATTATGTATCAGTTATGATCAAACTCATAGGGGAGCTTCAGTGTGTGACACAATCCTCAATTACAGTTCTTTATACAAGGAGTTCAGAAGGTGAGGATTTCTGGTTTACTGTACTACCCTCGCACAGTGTTTTTTGACTATTACGTTAAAATATCTTCCTTTTCACTCACTTTTATTATGAACTCTCCTAGATGACCACTAGGGAGCTGTGCTTGCTTCAGCTTCAGTAAGGCTTGAAGAAGTTATGTGTGATGAAGAATCAGTCCTCACACATGCTCATCTTGACCTCTGGAAACTGCCAGATTACTTGAGTGTAATTCATTTAACTTAACATCACACTGGAAGCAGTGAACGTTTGAAAATGTCAAACTTGGGGGTCTCAATTTTCACATCGTCCCTATCTTTCTGCTTTTTATACCAAACCTGTTTCAAAATAATATAGAAGATAGTATCTCAGATGAATAGTGTCTGCTTCTATTCTGTCCTCTGAGAAACTCTGATGAAGTGCATGTAATGCAATATCTTTGCAATTTGAGTCTACATTTTCAGAGAATCAAAGAACTGTGGATTTTGGATTGAAAAACAAACAAAAAAGCAATGCACCAGTCAGATTTTTCCTTAATCAAGGAGATATTTTTATGTCTGGAAGTTACTGAAGAAACTCACTGATACAGGTCTCTTATAAAAGAAATTGTCTTGTTGAATTCTCTAAAGAAAACTTAATGCAAAATCTTGTGACTTCACCATGTTACATCTGAAACAGAAATAAGAAAGGACTCATATCTCAAATCTGTTGACTTGTGTTTACATTTTCAGTACAAATAGCAGGAAACTCAGTTGTCTCTAACACAAACCCTAAGGACATACAGCTGCCTTTTCAGTAAGCTGATAGATGATTGCTTACTGCTACAGGCTGACTTGTTGCATTCACCAAATGAAGTTGACCTTAGCTGAGAAAATTAAGTGAAACATTTTCCATGGTTCTACATTTGCGTAGGGAGTAATTTAAAAACTTTAGTTCCTGCACTTTCTGAGGTATAGTTGGCAGATGAGATGAATACACAGAAACCCTTGAACCCTCTTACTTTGACACAAAAAATGTAAAGTGGTGCAATATTTATGACAACATATATTGTCAGTTTCAAAAAATGTAATTGTAATCTACTGGATTTCTAGTTGACAAGGAAAGAAATGAAAAAGTTATTACTAAGCTCCCTGAAATTCAAGTCATGGAGTAAATGATCTAATGCAAAGGAAACAACAGTTATTTCTCTGTTAGCAAGGCTCTACCTGTACCTGTCATACTGCACAGAGGTGTTTTTACGTAAGCACTTGCATTTATATTTTGTAGGATACTTTTTTTTTTATGGTATACATACATATTTAATCAAGACCAAGCAGAACCATAACTCTTCCAATACAAATTTTAACAGTATGTGGAACACTGAACAGAAGTTATTTAAGAATATCGGATAATTTGTCTATTATGAAATTCATATCTGTACTCTACTGAGATAACCAGCTATGTGCATACTGTATCCCCACATCAGCCTTCCAGTTACTCAGATGTAAGGAGACTCAAACAGATCAGTATTTGTTAAAAATTTTAACATTTGTTAAAATCTGAGAAACCAACCAACCAACCCGCCGGGTACAGAAACAAAATAAGGAAAATAATAACTTGCATCAATTCCTTGAAACTCAAATCTAACAGACCTGCTCTGCTATGACATTATTGTTACGCAGGATCTCCTTACTGACAAATTGATCGCAGCCATTTTAAGGTAAGCAGTGTCTGACTGAGGAATGTCTTGGACTCCACGTTTTCCTTGGAGACCTTCCATGTACTTTTGACTTCAATCCCTACCCAAGGGCATGCAATCTAGCAGAAGCCAATAAGGTCAAATTACTCAACTTTGTAGTATGTATTCTCTTCATCATTTCCTAATGTGCTGTGTTTGTTTAATCACAGAAATAACATGTTCAGTTTGATACAGTTATTTCTTTCTGCTGTCTTGTCCTAGCCTTGATTTGCAATGTGATCCTACTGAGAATATGGAGTCTGTGACCTGAGAACATATCATTCTCCCTGCTTCCTGAGCAAGATCTCATTGCAAACGCACTGTTTTCCCTAATATTTATTATTCTTCTTTTAATTGATAGACAAAATAAAAACCTAAATGTTTCTAGAATTATGAGGACTCAAACAAATAACAGTGCTAATCATGTTAAATGGCAATTTCATAAATTCTTAGTATAGTTCAAGTAATAACAATCTGAGAGCATTACATAGCCATAAAAGTAATGTGAAGCAAAGTTTTATAATTTAGTTTCCATTTACATACATTACTTCCAATATTAGGAAACAAAAATTTGTAGTTCAAGCTGTCTTCCTTGGATGCATTTAAATTACATGAGATTAAAAAGTATGTAGTTTAAATTACTGTAATGCAATTATCACAGATTATTACTTGTGCCCCCAGAATAGAATTTTAATTGAATTTGGGATTGGTTTAGAAAGAAATGGTGCAGCTGCCGGATTTCAGCCATCATTCTAGTCACTTAGACAACAAAGTCACCTTCTACTTCTTATTGTTTTATACTTAATTGAAAGCAATACATTAACTAGAAAACTGATACACGGATAAAAGTGAAGGAAAATGCATCTCAATGCCTTTGCATATAAAACAGCCTACATACATATACTAACAAGCCCTGCAAAGACCTATGGACATATTTTCTGACATGTTCTCTTTGCCGTCTTTGATGATTTTTAATTTTTTTTTTTTTTGTATAATTTCAAAGGCCAAGTAACAACTAGAAACATTCAAATAATAATGGAATAATAATACAATATTGCACCCATTCAGAAGCACTTCATTTTCTCCTTCCTATTGATCATTGCTTAAAAGTCTTTGGAACCTATTTCCCCTTTCTGTTGTGTTCAGTAAAGTAAATGTGTGTGCACATGTAGTGTCACGTAGGCAGATAAAAGTAGTATGGCTGCATAACTGAGAGAAGGGCTGGTATCAGTTGGAAGGAGCTGTATCTATTGCCCTAGAATCTGTTTATTGTTTCAGAAATGACCATAGGGAAGCTCTGTAAATAAAGACTTCTCAGAGCCTGGCATTGTTTTTGTGACTTGCTCTATCTAACGTGCTATTGCTCTGTTAAAATTTGTCTTTTTTTGCTTCTGTGTTTTGTAACTCACATACAGAGATGACCACGGTAAGCAGAGATATCAAAATATCAGCAGAAAGCAGGAAATTGGTATTAGCTGCAAAGCATAAGGATGCATTACTTCATATCTGAATCCCTCACTATCTCGACAGAAAAATAAATTGTCTTACATTTTGGAGCCAAACGTGTTTAAAGGACTAGCTCCAGGTCACTGAGAAAATAGGGAGGAAATTACATTTCAAAAGCAAATGGGAATTATTATGTTGATATTCCTCTTTTTTTTTTTTTTTTTTTTTCCACCAGTAGTACCTGAAGTCAAACATGCTGAGACATAAACTAGATAAACAGCTGAATAAATAAGGAAAAGTTGTAATTTCTACTTAACAAGTAACCTGAATATCAGTTGCTGACAGTAAAGTCAGATCACCAAAACTTTTCTAGCATGTTTTCCATTTACTGGCCTGAATTCTCCGCAGTTCTTTCAGATCTCCATTTTGGGATACTGTCCATGCGTTTCCACAATTTTCCCACTCCACCCTCTTGCATTTTTGGCAGATTGTAATGCTTTTCTGGTGTTCCTTTTTCATACTTTTCTTTAATATTAAATATATTTAATATTAAATATAAGATGCTTTCCCTTTGAAACAATTTATCTCATAGCTGCCACTAGAGGAGCAAAAGTGCAGACAAGAACACATTACATTCATGGGAATTTCTAACGTGCTAATTTATGAGGGTTTATATGCAGCTGCTGAGTGCCCATAGCTTCCTGGCCCCTCAGGCCTCCAGTCACCATTGGACACAGCAGAGCTTTGCTTGGGGTGGAAAGGGGGTTGGACTCGATGATCTCTGGAGGTCCCTTCCAACCCCTACAATTCTGTGAAGGAGTTGGGATCAGCCTGCCTGTGCTTTGACTTCACAGCTCCGAAGCACACAGGGCCCTCCAACCTCACCATTAGGTACAACCCACAGTAATGTCTTGCTTAAACCGATGTTTCATCAAATGCAGTTATGCTGCTGGCGCAAAGTTGTTACTGCAGGCATGGACATCTCACTTCAGAGCTGGAACACGCTGCTGGGGACAGGACATGGCTCTTTTCCCCATGTGTATCCATCTGCTTTAGGACTATGGAACGTACCAGTCTCCAGCATCACAGTTCTGGTGAAGTGTACTGCTGGCACATTCTGGTTAAACTTTCTGACAGGCCATTATGGCTTCTCTGAAAGAAAATCTTACATCTGAATGACTAACTACATTCCACATAAGCCCAGTGCTCTTTTGTACTGTAAATTACCAATCGCAGCATTACCAAGATATGAAACTGTAACTAAAGAGGAAAAAATATTTCTTATGGCTGTAGGATCTGATGACTCCTACCCTTTCTCCCCTTGATATTTTCTCAATTCCATCATGTTCAGTTGAAAATTAATTAGAAGATATGAGTTAGCATCTTTCCTCTAAGAAATACTTCTGCATGAATTCTAAACATTACATAGCACAAGCTCCAAACTGCACATATAGCTGAGTATTAGGTTGTTACATCTAAGTCCTTATCTTTTTTCCAAGTACAGATACATGTTTTTAACTTATTTGCATCTGTCTGAATTGCTGTTTGAGTCCATACAAAATGGACTGAGCTTTGTATAGGCAATTCCTTAGAAAATACATTCTGAGCTGTTTCTCTAGATACTGCAGACTTCTGTTAGCTGTTACAGCTACAGAGCAAATATAAAAAATGTTCCCTAGTGATGCAAAGATGGCTGTGGCTTTTGCCACTGCATGCTTCTGCTTTGATAACCAAAGCCAGATGAGGATCCATCATGATCTTGGTTTGCAAACAGCCATCTAACTGCTCGCTGCCACTTGATGCAAACCTTAGATGTGCAATTGATGCCAGCTTGGCTGCATCTTTTAACTTATGCCCTCTTACATTTCCTTTAAAACTGAGCTTCAGTGATATTTTCTTGGCTCTGCTGCACATCACAAATAATTCCCAAGGTAGTTCTTTTTTCATGAAAATCTTAGTATGCTGTTCATGAAGCCAGTCTCCCAGTGCAATGCTTGGCACACACACGGATCTCTCAGCCTTTCTGGAAATGATGTAGACAACACTGCAATCTGTGGCAGGCTGTCTGGACGGGTATGCAGGTGCACAGCCTGCACTAAGGCCATGCAAAAGAATATTGTCACTGTCAGGGTTCTTCTGGCCCAGTACAACCACTGGCAGTCTGGGAACAGCAGATGTCGAGAAAAAATTAAAGGAAACTCAGGAGCTGAAAAGAGGAATAACTAATCTACAAATATATCAACAAAATGTAGAACTGCATCCTTCGGAATCATTTATGCTGGGTACGCTGCCAAGCTCAGCTCTCATACAGTGGCTTATAGTAACTGCAGCATTTCAAGCAGACATTTTTCAACCAGCTGCAGCACAGCCAGCTGTCTACATCACTCATGTTTGCCTTATTCTCCTTCAAAATCAGTACAACCATCAGGTCTTTAATATCTTACCTGCCAGTGCAGAAAAATGGCAGATCTCTGGGAAAAGGAGTACACACACGGGTACTGTAGGACTTCCTCATCCATGGTCACTAGGAAGAAGAACAAATCTGGGTCTTTCTGTATTTCATTAATTGCATTTATTTAAATTTCAAATTGATATAAGATGCATCTCATTCACTTTTATGTGGCTTTGTGCATTTTTATTGTCACAAATATTCTCTCCCAACCCTTACGCTAAATCTTTAGTTTATGGGGTTCTGTTTTCAGGAGGAAAATTGAGAAGTAAGGCAAGAGTGAAAATTTAAGTTCCAGATGAAGTCTGATTTCAGTCCTGCTTTCCTGATCAGTACAGACTGCCAGGTTGGCCTGCAGCTCATATCTTAACATGCATTAAATGTTTGTTCCATTTCAATTCCATACTTTTTTTTTTTTTTTTTTTTCTTCAAAAATCAAGAAAAAAAAAATTTTTTTTTGGAATTAAAGTTTTCCAAGCTAAAATGTGTTGTTTTTTTTTTTTGTTTGTTTGTTTGTTTTGGTTTTTTTTTTTTTTTGTTTTTGTTTTTTAAGTGATAAAAATGCTGTCTGCTGCCTTCCAGTTACATCTAGTTATATAAAACTAGAAGAAAATTTTTACTGACTTAAATAAAACACAATAAAATTATGCACAGACTTTTCTTCCACAGACATCTTCAAAATTACCTTAGCTCATGAAATTTAGAATGCATAAATATTCAGTGCTTAAGTTCCACCGTCATGACACAACTGAAAAAATGTGTGTAAAAAAGTGTTTGTTCACATTTATTTTTTTCAGAGGAAAAAGATATTCCAATTAATTACGAACTCTATCAATTAATCAAGAAATACTGTATCATGTTTTTATGTTGTGATCCCTGTTTCCCATCCCATTTTTGGGGAAAGAAACACATGGGGATGGGAGGGAGAAGACTATTTTTTTTTCCAAGATGTTCCCTGGAGGATCACTTCGAGTACCAGGTGTTTTTTTTCCACTGTACCGGGAGTAAGTTCAGGTCCAAATTGGATTTTGCTTCCATGATGACTGATGTGCATAAATATTCATGAGTTAACACCTGGCATTGGCTATTGTCTATAAGCTGTGTAGCCATTACTGTGGTTGTAGCTGTGGACCATAACAACTCATTTGAATTCATGAGGCTTTTTATACATTTTAAAATATATATGAAGTGATATTAAAGTCTAATCAAGAATAAGAACCCCATCTGCTTTCTGCAACCTAGTGATACCTGCATAGCATAAGAGAGAGAAGCAGTAATGTAAGTAGTGAAGATGGAAACTTGTTTGTTTATTAAAACTTCAAATTTGTTTTGATCATTCCTTTTAGTCCCTGTTGGTAAAAATTATGATTCAAAGTGGCTTCTTTCCAGTTCTCTGTAGAGATCTTTGAGTTTTAGCCCACTAGAAGTTTGGCAGAACATCTAGCTGCCAATTTTTTCTTAAAGAGGAAAATGATTTAAATTCCCTAACAGCTTATTTTATATGCAGCTCTGCTCATGCATGAGACTCTCTTGCAGATGTACGCTCTCTTTTCTACATACAGTAAGACAAATTAATTTAGGGTTTTCAACTGAGTTTTGTATCAGGGGAACCGCAGGGACAAGTACGGTATTACTGAAAAGTTATATTACCTGTAGAGAAGAGGTCCATCTACACAACAGAAAATAACATGCCGATACCTGATCTTTTATTTCTCAACAAAATCTTTCAGAATTGACGGAACATTGATGGAGACCAACCGGTGCATGTGAGCACAGTGGGGCAGTGGGCAGTACATTTCAGCAGTGATGACAAGTTACTGTTTCTGGTTATCTTCTTGTATTTCTAAACATGGTTGGATAAGGCTGTCTGGTTGCTTTTTTGTTTGTTTGTTTAGTTTGAGTGTGTTGCACTCAATATGCACTCATATTGCACTAAATATGCCACTGTATAACAAGTGGATAAACTAAAGAGTATTGAACAAGGTGGCATTTTCTTTGAATGTATTTAACTCCAAATCCATCTGAAATCTAGTCCATTAACTGGTTGAGAATGAGCTTACTAATGGTCTACGATAAGATCCATGCAGATTCATCACAACAGATTAAGAAGATGCTGAAGAGAATGAAAACATAGGACTGAAGCCCACAATCTGCAATCACATACAGATAGTGTCAAGCACGTCCTATGTTTCTCAAACCAAGGGTAAAAAAAGCACACAAAAGGGAAAGGACTTGAAACATTTCTCCTTTCTTTGTCCTTCTGAAGATAAGTTATTGGGGAAGGAGAGAATACAAGAGCAAAAAGCTGTTATAAGACTGCAGAGAAGTAATGAAATGATAGGGGTAACAAGGAGCAAGAAGGACAGGTGTGGATAATCTCCACTATGTAGATTTCAAGAAGATAAAGCACTACTATTAATATTACTATTTCATGTCCAGATTAAAAGCAAAATATACTAAAGAACTAAAATCCTCCATTTTCCCTGGTTCCTTCACTACACACATTTATAATCTGTCAAAACTGCCCCTTTGTGACTGCCTCTATCGAGCACCATAGTTACAGATTTTCTGTCTCTGTATCACTGAAAAATATGCATTTGGCTACAACATTTCCTCTGTCAGTTGCATTAAATGCTCCAGCAGTGCCACACACTGACTTCTCCAAGTGCCTTCCCTGCAGCAGAAGAACTTCCCTCTCCAGAAGTAGGGAGAGGAAGCAACAGTAAACCTGACTTCTTACAATTGCTGTTACTAGCACAGAAGAAAAAATCCTGCTCTGTAAATAGAAATCTCAGTGTTTTACAAATGGCACAACAGATGCAGTACGCTGATGGAAACGGTGTAGGCAGTGATGCTGCAAAAACTCTTCAGGCAGAAACATAGTTGTCATGTACTGAGCAACATCTCACACACATTGTCACGGGAACAATTGTAGGAACGACCGGTGGGGCCCGAAAGTAAACTCCTGCTCTTTTTGAAGTATTGGAGTTTTCATTTCCAGATGGAGAAACAATAGAGATGAGTTCATTATGTCATCTTTGGGATGACATCTCCCACGATGCGACACCCCCTGTCACTGAAATACGGTGCCAAGCATTGGGTACGAGCCTAGTACATGAGGTGGAAATGGAAACCACAGCCTTCTGCTGCAGAGATACAAGCCAATAGTTGAGTCATCTCAAGGCCTTTGTATAAATCCTTGTACACTGTTTTCTACATTAAAAAAAAATGGATAATCTGCTAAAAATATGTGCTGCCAGGATCCAGTCATTCAGGTGTCAGGAAGAGAGTGAAGAGAATAAATACAGAAGTACATGTTCAGGTTGAGTTTTATGAAGAACAGCACGCTCCTCATGCATTCATGGAAGACTGTAATGAAACCTAAATTAAAATTCTATATTACAAACAAGATAAAAAATGCAGGGAAACAAACAAAAACCAGTGATACCTGAAAGGCAAATCAAGGCCTTGCCTTGGCAAACAGGTTGGCAAAGGGATGACTGGCTAAGAATTTATTCACAGTTAAGCTGTGCTAGACATGCTGTATTATTTGATGTTACCTCATCTTCTGGCTCAAGATATGCTTCATTTGTTAGGCTCTGTTTTTTAATCTCAAAATACAATGGCAAAGTGATTGCCTGTGACTTTATGCTTTTCAGTGCCCACCACAATAGGACTGCACTACTGCTTCAAAGAGCTAATACATACTTTATGATCAGGAAAGAAAAGCCAAAGCCCCCAGGGAAAGCACTTTATATTAAAAAAAAAGAACACCTGCTACAGCAACTTTTTTCACAATACTACACTTTTAAAGTGCCTTAGATTTTCTAGAAATAAAAAGTATAGCACGTTGAGACAAGAAATCATCAGATGCATCTAAGCCATTTAAAATATTCAGGTGTCATTCTGAACTGCATTAGTCTACTGTGATTCAAAATGCTAATTGCTTCATCAAATACTATCAGATGTGAGAATTTCAGTTATAATCTGTGACTATGAAGGTTAAGGAATTGCACAGTGGGCTTCTATAACAGCATATAATCGCCTTATCTCTTAAAAAGGAGCCTTCAGTTTGACACTTGCTTGGCTTTCTCTAGACAGCCCATGTGTCTGGGATGCTTTCAGACTCATTCCAGATTATATTATACCTCACCGTAATTGAGGTGGAATTAAAGTCACTGCTATAAGCTCCAAGAAGAAAAGAACACCTACAGGAAAATAAATTGGACAGTTCTCCTTTTTTTCCCTTCCATTTTAAGTATTTGTACACGTATGAAAACACCTTCATTCCTTCAATCAGTCTCTTCTATTGTTTATTTCAGGTGTGAAGTTGTAATCCTGCGTTGGCAGCATCTGGAGATGATTGCCTTTTTACAAAATCAGCAACACAGAATTGTTGTGCAGAAGAAAAGAAGGATCCAATCTGGTGTGAAACGGGCTGCCTACTGCAAGAGATACAGGCCCTGAAATGAAAACTGTATGAGGCACTCAAAGTCTATGTAGTAAAATTCCAAGAAACCAAAGATAAATACAGAGAAAAATAATTCTGTGGAAGAGGACATTTTTTTACATTTTCTACATTTTTTAATGTAGAAAACAGTGTACAAAAGAATTTCCAAATCAATTTTTTAATATATAAAGTAGATAAGTATGCATACATATATATACATATATATGTGTACACAAGCGTGTGAATATACTTAGCCTTCACCTCCTATAAACTGTATCCCAAATTCTATATCAGAATTACTTTAAGTTTCATTTTAGAAGAAAATACTGATTCACCTGACTGGGGAGTAAAATACAAGGAGCTGCTATAGAATTGAATGAAGGTTCAACGTAAATCAGAGGATATTTATTTCAGGCTTCCCATCATAGGACCAGATGATAAATCAAATAAAAGGAAATTGGTGTGGTAAAATTAGAACGATACTGATTCAGCAAATACTGAAATTTCCCGATATGTAGGAAGGGATCTCTTGACTAAGAGATAAATATCAGGTTTGCCAGAAGATTAGAGGGACAGAAATTAGCAAGCGAAGCCCAGGATTCACAAAGATTGGGCTTATACCAAGTGCTGCAATGGTCTGCCTCACCTCAGGACACCATAGCTCAGTCTTCCAAGACTGCAGCTCTGAAGACAGCCCTGACCAGGCAGGGCTGATGGACAGTCTGTTCCTTAACATCAGTCTAGGTTTCTTTCCTTGGTAATTCTGAGGGTCCTTGATATGAAATTATCTAGTGTGTGCAGTAACAGAAGAAACACTGCTCCTGTACTGGCTAGACGGTATTAATTAAAGACTGCTTTATGCCAAAAATAAAACATTAAAATAAAATCCCTTCGCTGTCAAATATTTAGATGGTGTAATATAGGAGATATAGCACATGATGAACAAGAATTGAGACTGCAACAAAGTGAGGAAGTCCTCTTCAGTGAGACTTCCTCTTAGGAAAAGGTTTTGCATGTTCTGAGATAGTTAATGACAAATAACTCAAGCCTTGATTTAAGAAGAAACCCACAATCATTCTCACTGAAATACCTTCTTCCCCTTTGTTGTGTTGTTCTCTGCAGGCAGAAGAGATGCCAGGCAAATATCCACTAGATCTGTAACAATACACAGAGTTTAGTTAATGTAAAGATAACTGGAACATAAAGCATGCAGTTAATGTCTCAGATTGTGGGAAGCTTTCAGGACAGGAAGATTAGCATCTGACAGCACAAAGAGTTATGATAACGAGACAGTGCCGTACAATACTGTTAGAATAGCAACTAATCTCCTGCACAAGTGATAAGATGTGAATTACAAAATTAAACAGACTGAGGAAACTACCACAAAAGGAAGATGAAATGTTTTCGAATCCCTACTTATCCCACAACACTATTTCTTCAGTTTTGTGCCAGCAGCAAGCAGAATGACCACAAATGTTTTAAATAAATGACTGCAGTGAAATGGACAACAATGAAAAGGGTTGATTAACCTGCTGACAAAACAATAACACAAGGAAAATAATAAAAATTATTCAACTCATTTAAAATCTGTAATATAGTCTCAGGAGCATGCTGGAAGGTGTTATCACCAAGGTCTTACATGAAAGATAGAAATCCAGTGTCTACTAGGACAAAGAGGTATGGATCATACTTGTCAAATAAAGAACATGTTGAACCCCCAGAGAAAAGAAATATGAAACTACTATTCACAGAGAGCACTGGGAAGTGAAACACAAATCTGCAGTGCATCCACAACTGAAGTTTCATCTACCAGCCTTATAAGAGATGCACACAGGGTAATATTTCTGATCAGCAACTTCTGTAATAAATTTTAATTAAAAAAATAACAGCAGCTTGGTTCTTTGATTTTCAAAGCTCTAGCATGCAATTATAGAAACACAGGATTCAGGTTGGAAAAGACCTTCTAGTTCATCAAGCCTGACCATCAAATCATACCAGATTATAGCAAAAGCCAGACATTAAAGGAGTTGAGTATCATTCAAATCAAAAGCAAACCTCCTATTGCTTTCAAAGCAAGGATAATTTTACTGAGGGATTTCATAAAACACATACATAATAAAATAGTAAAATTCCTTACTGCTTAATTATTCTTATTTCTAATCTATAAGCATTCATTTGTACACATGCGCAGACACAAACAATAATAAATAACAATAAATGTAAACACACAAAAACACCCTCAATTATATTAATCCTAACCACTAGAAGTTTTGGCATCTTCATGGAGTTCACTTGGACAGTGAGCTTGAGGATTTACTTACAACTGGTGGGATTCAATCTAATCTTAATTAGAAGTGGTTAAAAATTTGCAATAGAACTAAAAAGGTGCGTCTCAAGGATGCTCTGACAGATGAAAAGAAACAGAGAGTGTCATTAACATCAGGATTTTTAAAACTCCCATCTGTTTGCTGAGGTTTTATTGCAATGCACCTGCATTCTTGGTAATTTTTCACAGTTTCCATTTTCTACTACCAACATTGCATTTTCATGGTGGGAAAGCAAATCACCTCTTGGGAGAAGCACACATTCTCTGCTGATGATATCCAAAGTCATGCTCTGCTGCACACAGAGGTTGTGAGATTTTTTTTGACAAGATCAACATCTCACACTTCCATACATAATCCTTTAACTGAAAACCTAGTAAAAGGCAAAAATAAAATAACAAAGTTAATCCTGCAAGGGCAAGCTTATAGGTATTTTACTTTTGTTTCTCTTAGAATGATATAGAAACGGTAATTTCACTTTAAAAGATGTTACTAAGATTTCCACTTCAACAATTTAGTAATAAATAAATGCATTATTGTAATTAATATATTTACCCAGTCAAATTTTACTTGTTGAAGTTCAGCTTGAACCTCAGCTTTACTGAGGAGGAGGAGACAGAATGGACACAAAGTGAAGTAAAGAGTATTCAGTCTAAAACAGAGAGAGACTGAAAAATGAGATGAAAGGAGGAGGGAAGATGAGAATTTTGCTCAGTTACAACATACATACCCAGTCTGAACTGTGTTATAGTTGATGTAAAGTCTCCTTTGCTGTAAACGGGCATTGCAGTGAGCCCAGAAATAACACAGAGTAGGTTTAAACTCCTTAGTGTCTTAGGATTCATTCTCCCCACTGTAGAACTGGGAAAAAAACTTTAAAATTAATTCTCTTTTGGAAGAGAGGAGGAACAAAAAGAGTGGGAAGAGCAAGGGAGAAAGAATGACTACTATAGAAAAAAAAAAAAAGATTCAGCAAGGTCAACTAGATTCGCAGGTAGTTCACAAACCATTCTACCACTGTAGAAATTGCAAATGAGCACATGGGCCTCAAGAATAGCTTGAAGAATTCTGAGGGCCACAATATTGATTGCTCTTTACTTTGAGAGTGTATAGGCCTTACTGAGTAGAGCCTGCATATGGACAGAAATGATTCACAAAAGAGAAAGTCACATATATTTAAAAAACCACAACATCTAGAAACTTAATATTTTAGCTAATGAACATAATTTAGTAAAATACAAAATATCACTTTTGCACATCAGAAGTTGCTCCTGCTGTTATTCACAGTACTTTTTTTTAAAGTTGGCAAACAGGTCCTTAACATCAATTAGTAGTTTATCCAATTGTAAGTTACACTGACATTGCATGGACTTTAAATTATAAATCACTACAGATCCAAAATTACCTATTCAAAGCGGGCACCATCCACTTTTCTTCCTATTTGTTTTCTCTAGCAGTTGTTTTTCTTACTCTTTCTTCTACTGCTCTCTGAATATATGCTTATATATAGTAGTACAGTCAAAAGAACTCACTCTACCTTTGGGAGAGACAGATCAAACAATGTTAAAAGACTTTTCAGTCATCTCTGTCCACAACAGGAGTAATCTCCCATGTCCCATATGACAGTGATGAGAACATTGTCCAGTAATTGTAAACTGTTTGATGACAGATATTTTTCTCATGAATCACAAGAAACAAAACAAGATAAAATTCTAATGTCTGGAAAGAATAAGAGTAAATGATTGACGGAGAGAAACATCACATTTGCATGGCCATTCTATGGACAAATGTACTTCCAGTGACATTAATAGAAATCTTCTTGGCTTTACCTTCATTTGCTCAGTGTCTTCATCTTTCTGCTCAGCCTAACACTAGATGTGAAGCCAAGCTACACCAATTATCTCGCACAACAGATGCTGAGATCAGATTGCAACAGCATCCCAAGACTTGGAATGTGAACGCCGTCACCTTAGCCTTGGCTTTACATATCTTACACATTCACCCAAATTCACACACAAGCATCTCAGGCATAGGATATTTAGAATCTTTTTTCATGAAGAATCAACATTTAGCCAGAAGACAGAAAAGAGCACTTTCTCAAATTACGTTCTGTTTCTACCTGTGCTAGTGTGTTAGGTCCGCCTGGGATGGGGTTAGCTGGATGCAGGTGCCCAGCTGCACTGAAATGGGACAAAAGCTTCATGCAGGTGCACCCAGAAAAAAGGAGGAGGAAGTTTACCATCCCTGCCTCTCAGCCCTCATACCACACCTTGGTGAGGCTTCTTCAATCAGCTTGGTGAGTGCTTACTCCTTGAAGAAGGCCACAGTTGGCTGAGGAATGCAGCTTGCCATGTCACCATTTGGATGTACCCATTTTCACCATGTTTCGCTTACTGAACAGCTGCCTGCTCTCTACTCCGGTATTTCACACATTTACCTTAAAAACTTTAGTCTGCTTTCACATGCTTTTCCCAAGGCAGGTATCAGATGAGGAGCAAGGTTCATAGCTGTTGGCATCCGACGTCTCAAGATAGCTTGAACGTTTCTCCTGTGGACAGACTTTCCATGCTTCAGTTCTGCCACATCTGTTAAGCCTCACAGCCGAGCTAAGGAGAGAAGGGAAAATTTGACTTAGTCCAGGTATAATGTGGGTTGCAGCATAATAAGATCAAGTAGTCCCTAAGTAACTCCATACACACCCAGTGGGTGTTGGAAAACCACTCTCCACAGCCCATGCAAAGTAACTGGGGTGGGCCAAGGACCAGGCTGCGAGCAGAGGAGCTGCTCCCTCTCATCAGGATGTGAGTCTGCTTGCCTCAATCTCCCAGTCTCTGATGGCAGCCTAAAAGACATGAGTGAACAGAAAACTGTTTTTTTAATTCACTGATAAATAATAACACTGCACCTACTAGTCTCTGTGCGCTGCTTAGGAGAGAACAAGAAAATGAAAGGAGAGTCTCTGTTCTGCATGAGCAATTTACTTTTCTTCTTCCCCCTCCAGAAATCAAGCATGAGCAAATAGGCATTTCAGAAACGTTTTCATTTGCTGTGTTTCCTGTATAACACGGGGAGATGAATTGCAATAATATAACAAATGTTTTATAGGAACATAAGCATTACAATTTCAGAGCTCTCCTGTGAATTGAATGGATTTCTGTAAGCTTTTGTTTAAAAACAAGTAGCGTGATTAGAGCAGAAAACAATACAAGCCCTAGATGATTTAAGCATATGTCTGAAATATTAATGCTACTCCAAATTCTTCTCTCCCCCAAAAGCTTTTCATTAGCAAGCACATTTGGATCAGGAGGATTACTGTTACCTGTTTTTAGCTGTGGTTCTACTTCGAGCTGCTGTCAGCAGGAAAAGCTGATGCCCAGGACAACGTTATTACAGAAAAGAAATGCTGAGACCATAACCCGCTCACCGTAATGGCCCATTAGTACTGAAACATTACTGCTTCTGGTGGCAATCGGGCTGTACCTGCTAATTACCATGCATATGGCTGTCATGTTGGCTTTTAAGAACTGATTTAATTAATATGTAGCACTCAAGAAAGGATTGTTAGAAGAAAATTGGTAGGAGCAAATAAATCTAACAGCCTTCATAAATATTACGTTGGTCGCTCCAAAAGTAATGCCTCCTATTTGTTTCCATGGTAACTACAACAGATGCAAAAAACATAACGGCACTATTTCAGAGTGAAAATTCTCAGCTGCAGAGCACTTTTTCAACACAGTCACCACCATCAGCTGTGCATTTTTACCAGTGATGAACAAGGGCCTGTATGTCACTCATAATAACCTGCATGG